ATTTCACTATAGTTTTTCAATAATTTGCACTATACATATACTACTGAAAATTATATTCTGGATGATAGCAATGAAACAAGAAACAAAGTTTTATGGTTTTTCAAACTTACTTGACAGATGTGATACTTCTTAAACAGATTGAAACCTGAATGTCTGGTTTTCAGGAATTTATTTGTATTTGACGCCTTTATTTTAGAAAGCTCCTAATAGAAGGTGAGAGCAATATTTTCAGGTATTGAACTTGCTAATAAGTCAACCACTTCCAGTTAGCTACCATAAAATATCATCACAAGCTCAAAATCTTAAAATTTATAAAGAGATTATTAATGTAGATTTATGATTTTGTATAATATAGAAATTCAGGTTTTGTTTGGGTTTTTTTTTGCCTAGTACCCTGCTTTATACATCTTCTTTCATCAGATCAGAAGTATATCACTTGTGCCAAAATTTGAGTTGGTTTTTTTTTTTTTCTTATCATTTTAGGGCAGAATTGCAAAAATTGGCAACACTTGCTGTGACACATGTAAGTAGATAATCCAGAAATCTTGTATGGAAAAGACAGTGTGTAAGTACCTACATTTTCCATAACATGCAATTTAATGAACCAGAGCTTAGCAATGTGGTTATAATAAACCATCAAAGAAGTCCATCCTCTGACATGCTGCTGTCATGTTTTGTCATCTAGAACATGTGTTTTGACAGTATTGCCTGGTGCTTAGAAAGAAATAGATACTCTCCACATTTTATGCAGATGTTAATTATGAATGTTTTATTTTATTGTTCATCTGGTGATAACAGGAATGGTCCTGCACAGACAGCCTGACATGTCACATAACCTGATACTAGTGAATATGTGAGGAAAACACTTCATGAATAATAAATCAACTTAAAATTAATTAATCAAAAAAGCCCAACCCAGGTGGCAGTGATGTTTTGGATAACATATGAACCAAAAATAGTAGGGGAAATGCATTCCTATGGAACAGCCTGACTGCTTCTTAAATTTGTCAGTTTTAGGGGTCAATCCTGCAACCCTTAATTTCATGCATCTTTGGGTGGATAATCCAAATGTCTGTCAGACTGTGAGAGTAGGAAGGGTTTACTTACATAAAGAAGGATTGCAGGGTTGAGTTCTCATTTCTGAAATGAATCACTGATGCATTTGTGAGAAGATAACCTCTGTTTTCTCCTCTGTAATTAAAAAAATAATACTGTAGTTTATATAAAATTTAAAAAAATATATAACAAAGGATTGAAATTCTCTTTTAAGATCAGAATATCAACATTTTGCCTGTGTTATGTCTTTTAATTTTCTTATTTTTGCTATGCATGTGCTCATAAATAAAATATGGCCAGCATAGCAGCCCATCACCACACTGGCACAGGAGCTGCTGCAATAATACCCTTGATGAAGGATGGTAACTCCTAGAGAGTTTGCCTGTCTGGATAATCACTGAGCTCTGGCTTGAGAGATAGAAGTCAGAAAGCTATTGAGAGACTGTCATCAAATGGATCAAAGAGGTAATTTGGTTAAGGGAGCTTTAATCTACCAGGCTACAAGTAAGGAATACTCAAAATTATTTATTAACAAAAGCAGATTTTGAGATTTAAAAGACAGAGTAGTGGGCAGCTAGTGCCAATCACTGTAATTGAGGAGAAACTAGTTCCAGATGAGCACAGATCAATGCATAGATTTATTTAACAGAGTCATTTACAAGTGATACCTCCCTGCAGCAGCAAAGGCAAACTGATCTAAGTGATGTGCTGCCTGCCTAAAACCTCCCCTATTGAATGTACCTTCAAATCCTTATTCCCAATGATGTTTTGCCTGGATGTAGCTCAGTTTTTCGTGGACATGGATTACGTTATCTTCCAAGGTATTGAGGGAGTCTGTCTTTCTGATGTCTCTGTGCCATAAAGAATTGGAAAAAGAACTTGTTCCCTCAAGTCCAGGCTGATGCCTTTGGCTCAGCAGAGTCCAACAAGTCCTCGGGCAAAGGAGCTGGTTGAGGAGCCAGTTTCCCTTCCCTTCCCTTCACAACTGGACTTTTTTAGTTTGTCTGAGGGCATTGTTCTAGCTTTTAGGTTTGTGGGAGCACACAAGTGAACAGCTCCTATTTTTTCAGAGATTTTTGTGAGATTAGCCACAGGACTTGATAATAGGCAAAGGATATTCCTTATATTCCCACTAAACAAAGAAGTTGTATCTCTTTTCACTGATCTCAATCTCACATGTCTTGTTAAGTTACAAGCACTTGCCTTTGCAGAGGAGGCACAGTCAACAAAAACAGTAAATAACAGAGGTAAAGTAACTAGAAAACAAGTTAATAAGTCAGGATCAAAAAGGGGATGAAGCTGTGTTGAGGCTGACTTTTTTCTTTTTTTTTTTTTTGTGCTTTTCAATTGTGTGAACACAACTGTCCTTTCAGGTGGACAATTTTTATAAAGGAGTGATGAAATCATTAAAAGAGAAAGGGTGATTCTAGCCCTGGAACCAGAAATGAGCTGCATTTTTTTTTTTAATGAAATTTAAGGTTTTAGCAAGGCACAGAGTCAATTTGGTACCAGCATTCTGATGGAAAGCTGTGTTTGCTGGTAGGAAATGGATACCTTTCTTTTCCCTTTGTCTATGTACTTAGTTGTGCAGTTGCCCTGCTGAATTCCTTCAACTTTCCGAAATGTTTTGGATAGTACCTAAAAATCAGTCCAATATTCTGTTAAACACAGAAATTTCATTGGTTAGCTAGAATTGGGTATGAGCAGGAGTCTAAATTTTCACAGAGACATAAAACTATAGTAACACTACACAGAGCTGTTGTTGTCTATGCACAAAATACCCACTGAAAAAAAGCACTGTCTCCTTCACAAGTTGTTAGATGCAGACCAAAACACACAAGAGTTCAAAAGAAAATTTTCTGGATTAGTTTATATTTGGGCATATTAATGATGAGGTTCTCTTTGAAAGTGGGGGAAGAGAGTCCCAGTTGGTTATCAGAGTTAACAGGAGAATTGTTTAAGACCAGGGGAGAGGTTGGTGATCGATGGCCAAGGTGACTTTAGAACAAAGCAGTCAATTGAAAATAAACATGAGGGAAACCCTTCTCTAGTGGAATTTTAGGGCTGTAGTGTGAAATTGTCACACAACTCTGCATGACTTACTCTAAGGAGACACACCCAGCTAGGGGTTTTACCAGGAATAACATTTCACTGACGATGATTTCAGGAGTAAAGGGAAGTGAGTTACAAAAAGCAATTGCCAGCAGTGTTAAACACTTTTTAAATTTTTCTTTTTTTCACTTGGTAGGTGTGGAGGTGGAATGTCATCCAGTAAGTACCAGAATGCAGTATGGGAATATCAATGGATGTGTGGCTGAAAAGGAGGTGCCCATTTCTCATTGTGAGGTAAATAACAAAAATCAACCTCCCTTTTTCTTTCCCAAAAGTAAACCTTTTCTTCCACCATGGTTTCACTTTAGTAAGTGAAGCATCAGTTTCTCATTGATTGACTTAGTGTTAACCTCATTTGCACTTATTTCCTGAAGTAATTTGCTGATGCTGAATTTTCCCTGGTCAAACCAGCATGAAAAAAGGCACAAAGACTTTGTTCATCCCACCCTCTTGCTTCCATCAGAAATTAATAACTCTGAAGTAGCTCTGTTAGGACTTTCTACTTAAAAAAAAAGGAATATTTATCTTCACATTTGTGAAGCTGATTTTCAGCTCTGAGTATGTAGTTAAGCACCGAGCCTCTGGGTTGATTAGGGGAATTTAAATAGGTATTTAGATAAATGACATTTTAAAAGACTTTTAAACCCAAGTGCCAAGATCTGACTTGTGTGCCTTATAAGCTCTGGGATTCCTCCATTAGCCTTGGCACCAAGCTCTTGTGTTCTACATGTCTTGTGTCTTCCATAATCAGATTAAAAATTTAATTTTCTTCCCATCACTGCTTACACCTTATATGGCAACATCTGTTAAAACAGGAGCATAACTGCCCTTCTGGGTGTTCTCATCTCTGCTCTTTCCAAGATAACAAAGCCCCATACAAGGATTTTAATCAACTCTTGTGTGCAATCCAAATTATGGCATAACTAATAATTCTCAACTTCTTGTCCTGTCTACAAAGTAAAGGTCTATAGCCATAACGTCATGAGTATTGATGTTTCTCCTACAGAAGTCCAGATTTTATACTGGGAATAAACAGTATTAAGTACATTTTTTCTGAAATCCTCCCTGATAATTATAGGATATTTTAATTTAATTAGAAATAAGAGTACAAAGCCACTAAAGGAAATGGACTCTGACAGAGTGTTATGTGAGGCTACTTGTTTTGACATCATGAAGGCTTATAGGTTCAGGCTCTGATAGCTTGGTCTAAATTAGTTAAGTGGCCAGACAAGCAGAACAAGAAAAAATAGCACCAGCAGGGCAACACTGAGTGTGTGGGTTGCAGCATTTGGGTTAAAGCCCTTTCTGAATGCATGATAACCACGTTTTCTCAGAAGCCAACACCATAGCTCTGGACATTCCCTATGAGATTCTGAATTTTGAGCTCTTTTGTGTGTGTGAGCAGTTCCTTCACCTCTCCTTTGCTCTGCTTATGCTCATAAGAAGTTACTCTTTGAGCAGCACCCTGCATTCTGGAGTCAGGCACCTGTTTCTGAGATCATGTTTTCAGCAGAGCACAGAAGCTGGACAAAGTCACCCACGGATATCTTGAAGGAAAGAACCAGGATTCTGAGTGTCGTGAGGCTCTGTTCGAACTTCAGCTCTCTTCTTTTCCCATTTAGGGCAAGTGCAGAAGCATCACCATGTACTCTCCTCAGACAGGGCAGTGGGAAGACCAGTGCAGCTGCTGCACAGCCACTCAGACCACCACAGTGACCATCCCACTGCATTGTCCCAATGGGACTGTGGTGCAGCACTACATCCCCTCCGCGTCGCTGTGCGAGTGCCGTCCCCGCAAGTGCACACCATGGATACTGCCCAGAAGCCCAGCTGCTTAATCTGAAGCTTTATTAATGAAGAACTTCACAATGCAAGCCTCATTTTCTCTGTACACTGCCTTATCCATTAGAATCTTGAAAAATTGTATCGACGCAGCAAACAATAAAGCTTACCAGCACAACAGAACACGGCCTGATTCATCTTGGGGTGGATTGTAGGAGAGAGATTCCCTTCATTTCGCTGTGGGAGTTAATCAGCATTATTGAAAAAAATCCCAAAAGAACAACCACAAATAAATCATGCTCAGAAGCAGTTGCTTATACTTAAAGAATATTCCCCAAATCATTTAGTGTTCTCTGCAGAGACATTAGACTTTCATTTCCCACTTCAGTCCTCAGTGACACCCTGTGGACTTATAATTTTTTGCTCTTTTTCCTCCCATTCTTTTCAGGAAGTACAGTAATTATGGGATAAGGCTTCAGAGTAAGAGTAGGATGTTCGTGGTACACAAACAACACTGGTTGTGGCTCAGACAATCAAATATCTTTATGCAGTGCGTATACATGTTTCTCCTGAAGCTGAATGCAAAGAAGCTCTGTGTTGAGGACTGACTCTGTAAATTCTGCAAGTCCTTAGGACATGTGTACAGGTTTAAGGACAGCTCCTACTTCAGCCCTAGCCCGGATGAATTCAAGGAGAAAGCTCAGTGGTTGTCTCACTTATTTCCATGTGCCTGAACTTCACCTGTTGCATTTGTTCCAAAAGTTGGAATTAATTTAGATGCATAATTTGCAGTGGTAGGTTTAATTTAGTTACTGCTGCCAGGCATATATTTACAAGGATTTAAATTCTGCTTTGTCTAGTTGGGCCATGGAGCACAAAAGATCCTCCAGAGTCTTGGTCCTGGATGAATCTTGTGTCAGTGAAGCAGTTTCCCTGGGAAGTACTAATTTCTCAAAAATGTGAGAGAGGGAGGACTGTTACTGCCATGTGTGTTTTTGAAAGACAAGAATTATTTAAGCTTCTTGTTTAACTAACAGTTTTAAAATAATGAATGGCACTTTGACATGATTAAATGGGTCAAAGCCTCTCCTGATCTGCAAGGAACAGACAGAACAAACAGAAACTTCCTTTGGGAGCAAACAGAAACTCCTGTGTTTTCAACTAAAAATAGAGGAACTAGGCAGATCCCTGCTGCTTCTCTCTTGCCAGTCAGTTGTGGATTCAACAAACCCTGAATTGTGAGCCTTGTTTTTTTTTATTCTTTCAAGCCACCCTTTATTGCTGCACAGTTGTAGAAGTGCAGGCCTTCCATGCATCTGTCTTCTGCTACAGGCCACAGTAACACCAGAGAGTGAAACCCAATTTTAATTGGCACCAGCCCCACTTGCTGCAGTAGATTTGTCACCAATTTATCTCCACCCACATATCTGTTCCTTCCTGTAGCTGCTTCTAGATATTAAGCTCTCTGACAGATGGATTTGGGTCACCCAGGTAGTCAACAATTCATCTGAAGCTGAAGATCAGCAATTCCTGGAATAGCAACCTGCAACATCAGAGAGGAGCAGAGAGAAGGGAGTAAAAGGCAAATGTCATCCTCTTCTACTTACCATGGCTGGGATGTCCCTTTGTTTCAAGCCCTGCCCTCACCCAGACTGACCCTTCTTAGCTCGTGAAAGCTGACGGGATTGCAGCCTAAGGCTTCCTGGCTGCAGACAGGTCTTCTAATTAGATAATTAATTGTATGAGTCAGTGCAATGCAGCCCATGAGAAGAACACTTACTGGCTTTACTTACAGCAGGGAGTTCTGGGGACTTTGGTGTGGTTCTAGATGTTGTAACTCAGGCCTGGCTACTACCTGTGTATTCCAAGCCCCCGTCATGAGCAAGGCTAGAAGGATCTTCCTTGAAAATCCTGTTGTAGAAAGAGACTGGCAGGGAAGAAAAAGCAGAATGGAATGTTATACCATCTTCTTTAACAAGCTGAGGAGGTAAATACATTTCTGGCTTTGACTTGCTGGCATGAGAATCAAACCTTTTCAGTGAGTCTGCCCCAAAAGAGCTGTCTGACTTTTGCCGAAGGAGGCAGTGGGCTTGGACCTACTCTGTCTTTCACACAGGCAGCTACAATTACTGCAATTCCAATACTTTCAGCAGCATTCCTCACTGGCAGGTGTGAAGAGCACAGTCCTGCCTACCATCAAGTGTGCCAGCACATCACACAGTACTCTACATCTGACTGCTCCATTGGCATTCTCCAGCAGAATTCTCCAGCAGAAGCCAGGCTTTGAGGAATGTTGTTTCACAAGTCACACATACTGTTTGTGAGCTTTGATGGTTTTGAACTGCCTTGGCCTTTACCTTTCCACCAATGATTAAGAACACATCCCACCACTCCAGAGCACCAGCTGAGTGTGCCATAGGATAGATTTACAGGAATGCTGAATGGATTTGGGGAGGAGTCTTATATAACTCCTTAATAATTCAAAACATCTAATCTCTCTGCTAAATTTACAGACTTGCAAGCACCACTCCTTGAAACACGATCAGGTATATTGGTATTATTTGTCACAGCACTGCATTATCAATTAACACCATACCCAGGTACCTCAGGAAAGACAGCGATGCCAAGATATGATTTTCTCTGTTCCAAAGTCTTAAAAGTAGACTACTTCCATTCTAAGCAGCTGGATGTTGCTGCCTCTCATATTGCTGTGTATATTATTTATTACCTGAGCTAAGTGTATTACCTGTAACACACCCATCCTTATGGCTTATGGAAGCTGGTAATTGGAACCTGCACAGGCAGAGCTGTAAGTCCACAGGGATCCCAGCAGGACCTGGCTCTACATTCCTATAATATTGCAGAATTAGCCAGGATTTGCCTTTGTGGTTTTGAGCTTACTTGGAGCAGCATAGATTGTGGATGGAAAATAGCAAAAGTTTCAGAAAGTTTTCATTTCCCTCTCCCTGAGATAGGTGTAGAAAGCAGGAGATTTGTTCCCTGTCTAGGAAACAGATTAATTATTTTTAAAATTCTGAAAGAAGTTTTGAGTATAACATAAGATATTAGATACCTGTTGATATATTGGTTAGAAGATAAGAAATACCATTTTAAAGTAGGGACTAAGAAGACTGGGGGGATTTAATGCATTTAAAACCCCATATAAATTTCTTAGTCTTGCTGAGAAAATTACATCACCCAGCCCTAATTTTGGGAAACAACAGCTGTACTGTTCCCTTTATGCACTCAGCAGGTTTGATAGTGCAACAGGGTGCATCAGCACATCTCTCTGTGACAGAGATAACTTCTACCCTTACCAGCCATGACACAGTGCACTATCCTGATTCACAAGGTCACAGAACCACTGGACTTTAGTCAGCCATTGAATAAATCCATTTGTCCCTGTCACACTAGAGAAACCATCATAGTGTCATAAACAGGCTTAAAGGAAAAAAGATTTGGACTCAAATTAGTTACCTCTCTCTCCAGTTATCATTAGGAAATAAGAGTCCTTTCTCAAAAAGAATTGGTCGTCAATAACTTTTCTTCCCTAAATGTTGCTTCAGTTGCAAGGTTGAAGGCTAAGCAGGATCCATCACCTGTTCTGATTAGACAGTTGATTACAAGATAATCCCCTGAATATTTAATGCAGAAATGACAGTGCATCCAGGCACTGAGGTAACTTGAGTACTTGAAACACAACCTTATAAAAAGCTTTCTGCACTTACCTCCTACCTGGAAGCACTGTGAAGCTCTGTAGATACAAAGACACTCTTCCTCAAAGAAACCACTTCCAAGACAATCTGATCCTCGAGTGCTGATTCTTTGGACAGAGCTAGCTCTGCATTAGCCTTTTTCCTTCCTCCCCACTGCCTTCTGGACAAAATATGCCTGTTGATACCTTGTTCCTTGAGGCATTATGGAGCAAGAAGACAAGGTGCTAAAGTTCCAGCAGAGAATTGCCATGGCCTCTCAGGTCATGGGAGTTTGGTCTTTCTTCTTCTCTTCCCTCCATGATGGTAATCACCAAACCAGAAGGTCTTGCTAATTAGCTTCAGTTTGTGGTTTGCTTAAAGCAGGATCAAGGCAGGATGGAAATAGCTGCTGCTGCTGTTCCCTCCTTAAGCCAGTGCAGAAGCAGATTGTGCACAGCATAGCTACATCCTATTTTAGCACTGACGCAATTTCCAGCCAAACCTCCAGGCAACATGGAGACACACATGCTTGGTAAGTTTATTCTCTATTTCATTCTTATTGCTGCCTATGAAGAGGGATAGGCCAAGATGGGGTGGAGAACAAAGAAAGGAGTACTTTGGAACGACATCTCTGTCTTATTTTAGGGGGGAAAAAAAAGGAACGAGAAATCTGCAGCCCAGTTACATACAGAGAGCTCAGAGATAAAACATGCAGAGTTCACTTCTGAAGCCTCAGAAGTGCAGCTGTGGGTCAGTGTTGTGATCCATGTGGAAAAGACAATCACTAGGCGAGTGCCTTGTGCTGGTCTTCTGTTTCCCCCTGCATTTGCCTTATTGCAGTGCAACTGTGGAGACTGAGCAATATCCTTTTCTAGGAGAAAATGGGCAGCCCTGAGCTCTCAATTCCCATACAAAAGGAGCAAATCTGCTCAGTGCATAAAACTTTCATACTGGAGTTCCCAGTGTCCAAGTTTAGAATAACTTTCAGTGCTGATGTTGAGTTGTTGTTTTGCTGTCACAGTCAAAACCTCTGTGGTTATTTCCATGTTATCTCATTGTTTCTGGGGCTGTATCTCTGCTGTGAACTTCAAACTCCTTATTTGAATAATAGAAAGATAGAATTTGACCTTTAAATTTTAGCTATCTGGTATTTTCTCTCTTTGGAATGGTTCAAGAACTATTTACATATTTAGTCCCCTGCTGATAACTGCTTCTGTTAAAATCAGTCCCATAACTAAACTCAGAATTGGATGGTTCTCTTTTTATAAAGAGTATTTCTTCTCTAATCATATTTGGAGGTGGGAAGGCAGAAGATACCTGTGTTACGTACAGCCAAATGTAGAGAAATACAAGAGAGATACTGCGTCCTACCCAAGACATTCTTCTGCTGGGTGTCCTGGAGGCTCAGAAATTTCAAACTGAGTGTTGGCATGGGGTTCAGATGGGCAGAAGCACCCAGGTTTTCTGGATTAGTTCAGCATTAGTCAAGATTTGTTGTTTTTCCCCTTGCACCTGCAGTCCAAGAGGTACTGTGTGAGCCCTGAACACACAGGCTGCAAATCAGATGGCATTAGAGACAACCCAAACAGCCTTGTCTGTCTAATTCTTACATTCTTAAAAGGCACTAAAATTGTGATTTTGAAGACACAGTACCTCTTGCACAGTAGCCTTGCAGAGGAGCATTCTTCTAACTATGGTGTCTTTCAGAAATGCAGATCCTTTCTGATACTTATGTGAAAAGAAAGGAAGATAAATGAAAGCAATTCCTTGTTTGTGCCCTGGATGACCAAACCATTTGCAACATTTTCTGCAAGTAGCTGTGCTGTGATAATCTGATCATCTCAACCACTCAGCTCAGTTAATTGGTTGTTTAATACAGAGCTTCCAATTAGGCAGACTCCTTTACTGCCTCTTTCACAAGCAGTTATCTTCTAACATTCCCTCCTTCCACTTTTAGCAGTCTGTGCAAATTCTTCATGATGGTACTTTGGACAAGGACCTGGGAACATGAACTGTGGGTGAATTACTGCACATGTGGGCAACCCTTAAGTTTGTAAAAGGTGAGGTGTAGAGAGCCTGAGTGAGCAGGTGGTGGATGGCTGTGAATTGGAACTGGAGCTGGTCACTGATCTCTGTCCTGGGGGTGCCTTGTCCTTGGAATCTCTTTACAACTTGATGGAGTTTGACTGGAGGGATGGCACCCCAGCAGTTTTTGTAGAATAAGTGTAGTTCCTGAACATTTGCTTTCCAAGTTGAAGTCAAGATTCCCTGTACTGCTGTTCTCTGAAAATACATATAAATATATATAAGTATACACTAAAGCTACGCATGTGTGCATATTTAAAATTTTTATATATATCCACATACATAAACACATGTACACAGCTTGTTTCTATCAATACAAATTCCTCCAGAATATTTACAGAATGAGAACATGTAAGGCCAGATGTCATAAAGGCTTACAGGGTGGAATGAGGTCAGGTTGCATCTGAAGCAGAAGTCCCTGAGGCACTACTGTACCAGGCAGGAACTGTCAAATGTGGAATGCATTCAAAACAAAACATTTTGGTTCAATCAGTGTAAATTGGGAAGCTGAGAAGCTTTTGGGAGAACAGGAGTCTTCCAGATACAGATTTGGCAATTGTATTTCCATCAAAAAAACTTGTTCTGACTGGGAGTCCCTGACTACTTCACCAGTTTACCAGTGTTAATCTCAGGTTCATGACACAGTTTCTGGAGGTTGGGAAGCATAATGGAGATGAAATCATGTTACAAATGAACTGCAGCTTTTTCCCTAGGCCTAGTTAAAAGGACTGGAAAGAAAAAGAGGTCTTTAATTGACTGTGTAAAGGTCTTGTGAGATATCCCAGACTCGTCTGAAAATACCAGAGAAACATTGTGTGTGGCCTTTGGGAATGAAACCTTCACTTATTAATTATTTTTCTTGGAGTTTCCCTCATGGCATCATTATGTGCTTCATTAAAGTGAACTAAGCATGAGTCTGCTCAAGAGATCAGACAGGGAAGACTGGTGAGTCAATCTGCTGGACTGTTCAAATGCTGCTGGACCCTAATCTGGTATTGATAGGAAATATAAGAATGATTATAACATTTAGGGGTTGGATCCCCACCTCCAAGCATTTCCTTCTTTAGCATTCTAGTGTCTCCTCTCTGAGAACGTGGTGGTGGGGAAGCAGTTTCAGTCTGAGTATAGGGGATAGAAGAGTCTCAGCTAAATGAGGGGGAAATACAAGCTCCAGACTTTAGCAGTACACTATGGATGTGGTGTCTCCCTGGATAGATGGGTTATTTCTCTTCCTGGAGAAAAGTCCTGACTATACCGAGGCAGTGGAGCATTGTCTCTGTAGTGGTGGTGGTGCTGACCATGGGGCAGATGTGAACAGCATGTCTTCTCCTGAGTATAAAACACTAATGCTGGAAAGACAAACACGTGGTTTTTCCCTCTAAGAGCTTATCCAAGAGAATGAGAATATGGTCAGTCAACTCTGTTTCAGCTGTGGCACCACTAGAGGGGGAAAGAGTATGAAACATTTGTGTGTCAAAACAGTTTCTGTATCCACTGGTTTTTATTTTTCACTGTGCTACTGCCTGTATGGAGCTGACCTGTTGGAGCAAGGAGGCCTCCAAGAGGATCAGAGGGATGGAGCAGCTCTGCTGTGAAGAAAGACTGAGATAACTGGGATTGTTCAGCCTGGAAAAGAAAAGGCTGACCTCCAGGAACCCACAGGAAAGATAGGAAGAGACTCTTGACAAGGGCCTGGAGTGACAGGACAAGGAGGAATGGGTTCACACTGACAGAGAGCAGGTTTAGATTTGATATCAGGAAGAAATTCTTCCCTGTGGGGGTGGCAAGGCCCTGGCACAGGTTTCTCAGAGCAGCTGTGGCTGCCCCATCCGTGGCAGTGCCCAAGGCCAGGCTGGATGGGGCTCTGAGCAACCTGGGCTAGTGGAAGGTGTCCCTGCCTATGGCAGTGGGGATAGAAATGAGATTATCTTTCAGGTCTCTTCCAGCCCCAGACAGTTTGTGATTCTGTGATGATTTCCATCCCCTCCAGACCCTCCATTATTCTGCACTGTAACCATATAATTTGTCAAACACAAGAGATGGGGAGCATGTCTAAAAATTCCAGACATTACCCCCTAAGACCAGAACACATAGGTATAATCTTAGATACACTTGATGAGCATTTCAGATGTGTAAAGAGTTCTTTATGGAGAATGACCACGATCCACAAGTTTGTACCTCTACCCGATGCCACTGGATCTGTTCACATCAGTAGAAATGAATAGTGTCTAGTAACTGCAGTGGTCCCCATTCCATTAGGAAACCACCTGTACAAAACCTGCTTTATGTATTTATCTCTGCTTCTCAGACTTTGCTGTACCCTCCTCACACCCAGCTCTCAATGGACGGAAGACAGCAACATCAGCAAGGGACTCTTTTTCAGCCTACGACAGCAAATATCTCACTGTTCCTCAGAACCGGACTTCCTTGCACAGAAGTGGGACCAATGGAGCTCTTGAAGCATCAGTGGTGTCCTACAGAAGTTCTGTAAGTAGGGTTTCATGTTCATTAATCTAGCTCAAGTGCATTTGAGATTATGAAGAGGCTTGAAGCAGAGTGAGCAGAGCAGGGTGCACTCTCCTGTGTGTTGGTTAAATCAGAACAGGGAGAAGAATTTTTATGAGGAAAATGATACCACACCCTCAGGTGGTTCAGTTGTCTCTGCGTACAGCTGGAATTAATTTCTGCAGTAGTAATCCCACCAAAATTTCTGGATTGTTTACTTTAGCCAAAATCCTTCACTATTACCCCTAGTGGCAGAAAAGATCTGCAGGTTGATTACTAAATTGGGTGTGCCTGTGTCAACCTTAAGCCAGCTGTGACAAGGTGTTAGTGGGATTGGATTGATTCCCAGTGGAAGTGTGGTGTGGCTGTAGTGGTCAGAGGAGAGCTGTCATTAGAGGAGGCACATTTGAAATGTATTTGTAGTGATATATTTGCTATCAGACCATTAGAACAAAATCATTATGAAATGCTGATCCTATCTTCCCATTTTCTTATTCCTTGGTGTGATGGCTTCTTGTCTTGGAAACATCAAGAAGCAGTGAAAGCAGGACCTAAGCTGCTGATTTAAATCATTGTTTATGACTTTTACAGTGGCTGTGAGAGAGGAGGAAAGATCTTGATAGTTAGTTCCTTCAGAGGATTTTTGAAATTGTGACTTTTTGTGTTCCTCCCTAAAAAGTCTTCTTGTGCCAGAATGTCACATGGTAAGGCAAGCAGTGCAAATTTAGGGGCAGGAAATATCTTTAGTGAAATCTGTGAGAATTTTGATTAGTTTTCTGTGCATTGGACACTCATAATTGTGAGGATGGCACCTCACTGCAGGAGTGAGGAAAAGAGTCCACGGAGAGGGAGTCAGTGTTGACTCTCCTCATCCCCTGTGTAACTCCAGCAACCCCAAGTGTTGCTATGGTGTCCTCTCAGGTGGCTGGGATGTGGCAGGTGGCTCCCTGCAGTAACAAACAGGAAAACCTTGGAGTGAATTTCACATTCTACAACCTCCTCGTTCCCTCTCCTGCTTCTTGTTCGTGCTTCTTGTTTCTGCCCACACTCTCCAGTAAGGGAGGAGAGGATGCTCAGAGCTCATCTTCCCTAGAGCCAGCTAATGCATTGCCTTGTGCCAGTGACCTGGTGTGGTGACATTATTCCTTCTGTGCTGTGTGGCCTGAAACTCTCTGGGAGGGACGCTAGAAATCTGCCACAGGTTTTCCCTCGCTGGGGCAGAGATGGATCTGGAGAGTTTGCATGGGCTGCCTGTGAGTAATACATGAACATGTATCTTATTAGGAAATGGGGAATTGCAATAAAATGATGTCTCAAAAGCAGTTTTATATTCTGTCAGGATGTAGTGCTGAGTGTAATTTTGGATGTGCCTAAAGGGACTGTATATATACTTTAGACATGGAGAGTGTGATAAGTGTGATGTGCAGAACAGATTACTTGGTGGTAATTTTGTGAAAGGATGAAGGATGTAGCATACATATAAACCCAAGATTTATTTAGTGACATGACAACTGAAAGCTACTTTGTGTGAGAGTAAGTGAAGCAAAACAAAAACAACAATCTGGTAGTGTTGATGAATGTAATGGTATGCACATTGATAAATTTGTGTTGTTTTAACAAACAGGATAATTGCCATACAGCAAGTGGTTAACTTTGCATTCAGCACTACCAGCACATGTAAGGAAGGGGAGAAAAAGAGAGAAAGAAACCTTTCACTGGTACCTGTCAAGATAGAACTTCTACAGTCACCTATGGGAACCATAAATATTCGGAATTAGGTTATAGGATGATTGCTTTGGATCAGGTTGACCCTTGCTTTTATCTTTTCCCCATCACTGGAGGGCTGATGTCACTCCAGTGAATAACACTCTAGAGAGTTTTCTGAAGGGCTTTACACTGCAGCATGTGCTGGAAATGGTGGCTGCAAACAGTTTGGAAAACTCATGGGCTGCCTTTAATGAGTGGGAAGTGCAATTGAATGCCTCAGTGTCAGACTTCCACATGAATGCTACAGAATTCCCATCCAGGCTGGGGAGTGATGGCAGGATTACTGTTGGAGCTGCATCCCAGAAGGGTGTGAGAGGGAGATGATGAAGAAGGGATGGTCTGAGGGGCTGCTGGATGCAACATGGGTGGTTTGAAGGATTTTAGCCTTTTTGCAGTGTTACTGGTTAGTCACACAGTCTTTTCATATGTTAAAATACAAGCTAGTATGGCTAGCCATTCATGGGGCATATCCTTTCTAATACCCAGTATTTTCCAAAGTGTTTCTGTCCAGCCTGGCCCTTCTGGACCTTGAACCATATTAAAGATGTTTCTCCTATTCTGGCTAAGATTGATTTCTTCCCTCCCAGCACCGTTTTTCTTCCCTTCTCTGCCTGCTTTGCTCCACAGCACATGGCACGTGACCTGTAATGTGGTCCTTATTCTCCCTTCTCTGTCCCCTTTCAAAAGATGGGTGTCTTCTCCCCGTTGTCTGTGCATGTGCAGAACAGGGTGACAGAGCTGGGGTGTGCCTCTGTACCTGCTCTTCCGTAGGGATCCCATGTGTTGGGATAAACTAAACGAAACAACGCTATGTTTAGTTTATGGTCAGAGGAGGAATGAAGTGAGGCTGGTGTGCAGAATTAGTATTTGTAGGTCATACCTGGGTTCTTAGTGGCTTCATGTGCTCGTGTGGCGATAGACCCCCCCACGCACCTACTTGGGCTTTTTGGCTTTCTTGTCTGTGCGACTCCCATGTTTCTCTCCCAGATTATCAACAACTACGTGGAAGGGAGCCAGGCAGGGGCGAGGGACAAAGCCTCCCCGAGCGGCCTGCACTTCAGGGACAGCAAGAGGAAGGTCGACTACGTCTTGGCTTACCACTACCGCCGACGCCTGGCCCAGCACGTGCCCGGTGCCGCCTCCCCGGAGCCGAGGTGCGGATCCGCCTCCGTGGCCCTGGTTTCAAATGGAGGCACTGGGAAGGGCCGTGCTGAGCCCCAGCAGCAGCAGCACGATGGCCAGCGTGCCCTGCAGGAGTGGCCGGGGGTGGTGGAGCTCAGCCCGCTGGACACCCTGGAGGAGGAGAGGCGGCTGCAGCGGGAGGAGTACGAACGCAACCTGCTGGAAGCGGGGCTGGAGATCGAGAAAGACCCCGAGGTAAGAGGGGAAGACAGACACCTCATACATCTCATACATGGCATCAGGTGTCCCGATAGATAATGGGCACTTGGGATGCCCAAAATACGGTGTGAAGCTAAGAAGATGGCCAGGGTGTGTTTGTGTTGCTTGGTTCTTTCTGCTGAGAAAGACATGGTGGTTGTTGTTGTTTAATGTAGTGTTGAGTAGCAATTTCAATCTTACTTCAGGTGAAAACATATTTATTTATCTAAATGTTCTTATGGGATACAGCAGACACACTTTTCTTACCAAAAACTCCTCAACAACTTAAATATTGCTAAAATGAAGAAAGGATCTCTTAGGTAATTTGCTGGAACACTGCTAAGACATTTCGTATTTCCTCACAATATTTTCAGTGCAACTCTCAGCTTTCTTCTCAGCCATATGTAAGTTTTGTGTCCATTCCACCCACAACATGAGTAGCTCCTATGCTTTGACAGGAGAAGATCCTAGCCTGTGATGTTTTTATTCTCCCATGTGTGTGATGCTGGAATGACACTATGCTCAGGTCAGCTGGGAGCTGTGGTTATTTTACTTGGCTGTTGCCAGTCAGTCAGTTGAGCACATGTCTTCTAAATCCCATGTTGTGCTGAGCTCTGTGCTATCCCTCTGTGCCCCTTCAAAAGGCATGGATATTTATATCCAATGAAGGGAAATCCCTGCTGGGTTTGGGTTTTAGGTACTCTGTTGCTCTTGAGACCAAATTTGAGATATTAAGAGTGCCTTTTTGTATGTGCTGAGAACTCATAGCTCTTGCTGCTTCCAGTGCAACCAGCCAGCACTTTCAAAACGTGGAGCAAATCACAGACTGAATCAGAAAATTTGAGACTGACTGGATTGATATAGTGTATGCATATTAAATCACCAGCAAGAGTAGAAAGAAATAGAAAAGCCTTTTGACTCTTAATGTTTTCCTTGCTTAATTTTCTGAGTTGCAGGTGCCTCTGGGTTGTACTTCACTGCACAGCCTGGCTGAGCCATCCTTGCACTGAGCCGAAAAAAGTGATCTCAGATCCTGATTCTTTTAGGCTGTGCACTGGGGTTATGGTTCAGTACATGACCATCTTACTGCTATGATTTTTATAACCAAATTGCAATAAACCCAGGAAAACAACTGTTTTTGGAGACCCCTTTCAGTTCTGAATTTCATCAGAACCCAAAAAGTCAAGCAGGAGATTTGTATTTGATTATTTGACTCATTACTTACCCTAAGTCCATCTGGATAAAAATTCTGTTTTGGCCTTCTTCCAAGTGATGACACATGCTCTAAAATAATATACAAAGTGATAAATTATGTCATAAAGTGTTGATAAAAAAACACCCTTTTTGTCACAGTCTTCACTATGAAGAGAAAAAAGGTTTTTGTAAATGAACTGGGAAGTTCACAGGAAATTGTTGATCAGTTCTTTTATGGAAAAAATGAATTGATTTTGAAAATTATAAAAAAAGCTATTCCATCACTTCTCTAACTGTCTATGTATGGAGTCACTCCTGTCCCCCACCCCTCCTCCTGTCCTTCCCCAACACACAAGCTGTCGAATCAAAAGGGGAAAGAGTTTTCCCTTTCAGAATCTTCTGAGAAACTGGAAGGGGCTAGAAGGACTATGCCTTATCCTTTTTCTTCCCTGCCCATGACCTGTGACTTTTACTTCCTTTTCTTTTTCTCACTTCACTGATTTTTTCTTCTGTTGGAACGTACTGAAGGTTCTGTCCTTTTTCCTGCTGTGGATTTCCTAGAAAATGTTGGGTAGGCACATGTGAAAGGCACAGCTGTCCTTATATGTGGATTAAAATTGTGTGTTGAGCTGTTATGGGAAAAACTTTTGCTTTTAGTCCTGGGGAAAAAATATGTGTCTATAAATTAAACTGAGAACAGCCTTAAAGCAATATTTGTATTTTTGTGTATCACAGTGGACTTTCAACTACTACATTTCCAGGGGATTATGCTGAACTGAATGTTTGGTGGAGTTTTTTTTGTTTCTTGTTGTTTATTTCAGTGCTAATATAAGAAACAGATTTTTTTAATATAATACTATTGCAAGTTGAGATATATTCTCTAATATTACTCAGGACTGGATTTTGAGGTAAGTTTGATCTGGCTGCAAAGGATTAGTGGGATTCCCCTTTTGGACCCTTGGTTTTGAGCAGGCCTGGTTTCTCTGTGTTACATCATCTTCCTATGGTTTTGCAAGAAAATCCACCAATTTAAGAGAGATGGGATGTCCTGAATCAAAGAATTGTAGAATGGTTTGAGTCTACCAACCTCACATGGGAGTAGGGACATGAGAGTTCTCCCATGAGAATTTTGTTGGCCGAAACCTTTTTGACATCAGGCAGTTAATCTCTAGGAACACAATACAGAGTTACAACAATCTGAAAATCTTTATTTCTGCAGCTTTTTTTGGAGAAGTGGGAATTTCCCTGATAATATGTTTGCTAATATGTGGCATTATTGTGATTATTAAATGTTTGACACTAGGGATAGGTAGGTTTGACAACTACCTTTCTCACTTACATTGTCCAATGTAACTAGGTTTGACAACTACCTTTCTCACTTACATTGTCAAATATGTAAAAGAGGAGGACAAGAAAAAGATGAAGTGTATAATAGAGAGAGAGGCATATTGCTGTTTTTGAATTTGTGGAAAATAGGCATGACTATGGACTGTCTCCATTCACCCAGTTATTACTTGTGAATTAAGGAATTTTGGACTATGTTTTCAACTTCCTAATAACTTTCTATCAATTGCTGTCCTCCAGAGAAACTTCCATTTCTCTTAATACAACCTTCCTGTTCATTTTTTTTGTTTGTTTGTTTGTTTTTGTTTTAAATTTTTTTAAAAATTTCCCTTTACCTTTGTTGTTGCTTTGTTTTTCTTTCTTTTGTTTCTGTTTATTTCTTATTTGTTCCTGGGGAAACTGATAATTGTGCGTCACCTAATCTGAAACCAGTCATTCCCATAAATTTGAATTTTACTGTTGCTTTAATGACTGCAAATACAACACACACCATTTTCAATTAGTATTCTGTATGGTAAGGCATAATAGGTATGGAAGAAGAAGACTTTGGAGATGTGCCTTGGCATTCTGACAAAGCTGGTTCATTTTTGAGCACACTGGAAGTGAAATGTACTTTGCTAAGTAGCAGTTGGGAGAGGAAATATTATTTCAAGGGGAAGATGATGACAATTCTAAAACAAAGTGTAAATTATCCTCCAAGAAGCTCATCTAACCTCAATTTTCGAGCCAGTATTGTTTCCAAAATGTCTCACTAAACTCCCTTGATTACATTACACTTGAGGGGGAAGGAAGTCCTTAAGGTCCTCAATGATGATATTAATATTACTGATGATGGAGGTTGTGATGGGATTTTTCTGCTTGATATTGCAAGGCATATTTTTGAATTTTTGGTGAAGAAAAATCCACGTAAACTTAAAAACCCAACCAGCCAAACAAACCTCCCAACACCTCCCCAGCCTGAGTTAAATAAAAGCTTACAATGTTTCAGTAGATTTTATTTCTAGGGTTAAAATGCACTGTTTTGTTGCACTAAGGTGCTTCTTATTTGTCAGTGGGAGGAGGCCTCTCTCCTGTTAGCTGCTAAGGACAAAGCATAGCCAAGATGATGTAATGTATATTGCTTAATTCAGTAGTATTTAAAAGCCTGAAAAAAGGAAAAAAAAAAAAGTGTTTGTCCCAAAGTCTATAAATGTGCTTTGTGGATACTCCCAGGAAAACATCTCATGCCCTTAGTACTTGTGAGACACCTTGCAGTCACTCAGTATGGACATTTAATTACCTCAAAATATTAATTTATCCAAAGTTCTGAGGAAAGTCTAATAGTAGCTAACATTAATTTTAAAAGGACATGGATATTTAATAGGAGTCCTAGACCTTTATCCCTGTTAATGAATGCCTCCTGAAGCCAAGAAGGATACAAAGTAATGGAACATTGGAAAAAGACTGGGGTCCTTTGTGCTCTAGGTCTTTGGACTTTGTATTTCAGTCTCTCAGCACTCAGAACGAGGCATTTCTTCTTTGGGAAGCCAATTATATAAATATTTGATGCATATTTTTCAGCGACTCTGGTTACAGAAGCATTAATTAGCTAAAACATGTTCTGCTCCTGTATGTTACTTATATGGGGCTGAAATGTAATACACAGCTCTTATAAAATTAAAGTTGAACAGGCAAGGCAAGGTTTGCAGTGGTAGTGAAGTGAACGTGATGAAAATATTGACAAGCTGATTAATTATTTAAGAGGAAATTATGTCTCTGTTTTGGACAGGCTTTTGAAGTAGCCCCATAGGATTTAGGTGTGATTAAATGAGCATTAAAATAATGACCCATAATAAAAGGTGGCTAAGTAGAATGGCTGTGCTGTCAAAGCTCAAAATCCATATTATGAATCCTGGGTTTTTTTAATGACTGTGTTGTGGCTTGAATAGATGAATGGGCAGACACACTCACTCTGTGTATTTTAATTATAATCCAGACTCTTGGTGCTCAGCTATGAGGTACCTTAGTCAAAAAGGCTTCCAAGAGATGTAGAGAAAATTGAAAAGGTGTATAAAAATCATTTATGTTTTGTCAATAACATTTATAAAGCTCTTGGGTAAGCAGTGGTAAATGTAATCAATTGTATGCAGATTGGGAAATAGAGTAATCCATATCCTGAATTTTAGATGAAGATAGAATAGGGCTGTATATGCTGGTTATATTTACAATGGGTTTTGGGTCAGAGGCATCCTGATTTTACAAATATTTTCTACGTAATGCTGTTTCTAGCAGATTTGCTTGCTAGAAATGGCCAATAGCCTCCTGAATTTGTGTTTTCATGTCTCTGTGTCCTGTACTGAGTTCTGTCACCTGCTGGGAGAACTACTTCAATTCCTACAAACTTGGCTGGCAGATGAGAAGCCCACAGGGAATGGCTCATACATCTCTGCTGGGGGATGGACACTTGCAGGATAGGGCTG